TAAATAAATCAAACCTGGCTTGGACATGTTGTAACAGGATATTGTTATACTGGGCCCAATTCCTGAATTAAAGTTCCTGAAATAAGTTCAGAAATGATGGTAAGCAGTTTTGGTACCCATCTTTCAGAGCTAAAAATGTCTTGCACTCTGACAAGTTGGCAAATATTGCATGGTGGGGAGTTAATATCGCGGATAATTATGTCGTTTTGAGCGCTTGCTTCAGAACTCGGCGTCTGCGTGTCTTTGCATGTGCTGCTGCGTGTGTGTGTGTGTGTGTGTGTGTGTGTGTTTGGGGTCAGTGGGGGGACATGTGCCAGTTGAACTTGTCAAACATGATCTGCATCAACGCTACCAAGAACCCCCCCCTCCGCCTCCCTACCGCCGCTCCTTTTCACTGTGCTTTACTTTTTTTTTCCCCTTAGCATCACATCGGAGTCTATCTGTGACAAAGCTGCCGTGTTACAATCTGACTCTCACACGGCAGCTCTGGGTCCCCTTTCCCGGTGAACTATCTGTTGTTCGGGCGCTGACGAGCGTGTTCAGTGGCGTGTGTGTGACACCCGCCTGGGGGAGTCAATCAGATCACTGCTTCGGTGTACGGAACGCGAGAAAGAAGGAGACAGGAGCAAAGTGGGTATAAGTGTGAATCCACGAGGTCACGGGGATGTACACTTTATACAATAAACACACACACCCACGCACACATCAGGAAAGACCTGCGTAGTCTCGCTGTAAAATAGAGGTGACAGATTCTGGCAGCGGCAGCAGACACGCAAGTCAAGTAGCCTTGTGGTTGTCACGCTATCACGGGTGTGTGCGCACACACACACACACACACTGGAAGTTCTCCTACACGTCGCCTTCCTGTATTTTGTTTCCCCCGAACGCTCCTTCATATTTCTCCGTCCGTCCATCTCTCCTCATTTGGCCTAAGTTATTTGAAAATATCCTCCTGAAAGCGGCTCTGGTCACCGTGATCTGCCCGATCTGAGCTGCGTCCGGACGCATTGTGGCGTGTGTGTGTCCCAGGAGGGAACGTGAGATCGAGGCCGTGTGTGTGTGTGTGTGGACACTCTGCTTCCAATCAATGCGCTGGTTTCATGAATCAAAGCATCTTGCCGGAGTCTTGTTATTCAAAGTTTTCCTTCAAGTTTAACTGCTTTAAGAAAATACCACAAATCTAAATTTCTCCCCAAATATCCTTAAATATCTCTCAGAGGCAATATATTGTGTAACAAATCACTAGGTTTTATTTGGCCCATTCAGTAACAAAACCATCTGTGTCTGATTCCTCCTACCATGTCCCCTCTTTTGTTCCATTTTCACAGTTATTTGCTCTTCTGAGAATGTTGGAAAAACCCTTCTAAACTGCACTAAAAGCTATAAAAGTTTGGAAAAGGGCCATTTCTGACTGCATGGGCTTTGTGGCTGCGGAGAGCAACACTCATAAAGTAATGACCGGAAGCAGAGATGTGCCACAAAGTCCGACAGCTGAACGCAGTCGCTCTCAAAGATGGCTTTGAGGAAGCAGATTGCAGAAAACGAGTTGTTTGTGTTTGTTGTGCCTGAGATTATTTGCTGCATGAGCAGCTGCATGAGCGGCAAATAATCTCTGAGTCACTGCTTATTTCTTCCTCCTCTTCATGTGTGCGTCTGTGTGTGTGTGTTTAGTCCCTGACAGGCTTTGCCTTGGTGGTGAGCAGCGACGGGATGGTTTTCTATGCTTCCTCGACCATCGTGGACTATCTTGGATTTCACCAGGTGAGTTCAACGTCTGAATCATCCGCCTGATATTTTGTGAGCTCAATATCATTTTTAAAAAATACAAATGTATTCACATCCCTTCCTAAGGAGAGAGTAAGTAAATAGTAAACTGTTAATAGAAAGCCTCCTTTGAAAGAAAAACTCCTACTTTAGTAAAGAAAATTTGTCCCGAAACACACAAACAAACGAACAAACACACATAAAACCTTTTTGGAGTATCAGGGAACAACATATTGTTGCTTGATCTATTAAACTCAATCAGCTTTTATATAATTTTTAATGAACCTTAATGATACGTGGATGGAATGGCCTTTAATCGCAAGGTCTTAAGTCATTATTTTTTGTGTGAAGAGATGTTCTGTTTCCACTATCAAACACCACCTTCAATCAAAGTGTTTTTTTTTATGTTCTCCAAACATAAGATTTTCTTCCAACCACATGGTTGACCGACATCTATCCAGGTTTAACTGATACATTAGGTAGTCGTTAAACCACCTTTGCCATTTTAGGTTTAATTGATTTATTTATTGTACTTGTCAACTCATTGTAGGCCAATAATTTGTTATTTTCTGAAACAGAGGGACTTTCTTTGGAGGCATGATTGACTAACTGTCTCCCTACTCGGTTATTTCAAGTATAAGAATCATGCTTTGTTTATACTTAAGTTACAGTTAAATATGTTTTAGCTGGCTGAACCTATTCATCACATACACATTTATCCTGTCGGAGACTTTTAACTATTCAACATGTGGGATCTAGCTATTTAATTATTTTTTTTTGCCGAAGATGTGACTTAAAATGTGTTGACCAGTGGGGTAGTTTTTGTAACTGGTATGTCCATTCATATGTAGCATAAGTATCTTTGTAACAGTCAGTTGTTTGAAGGCTGCTGCGAACTTAGCTTCTGCTGAAAGTGGAGCTGGTTTAAGACATAAGGGGTTTTACGTACAAAAACAAAAAAAGATTAAGTTACTGTGTTGAACAATGTAACAACGTCGATGGGAGAGGTTAGACGAAAGAATAACATTTTTGGACTTTTAACCCAGATTAGATCATTTTATGAAAAACTAACTTTTGTTTCGAAAAAACAAAAAAATGTGTCTTTGATCCTCACAATCCTGATAATCTAGAGACTTTTAAAATGTAATGACGACCAAACCCTCTGTTGAGGAAGTCAGAGGCTTTAAAGTTTCTAAACTTCTGATAAGATCTTTAATAATTATTTATATTAAAGATCTGTATCATTATTTCATCATCAGAGCAAGAATAGATTATGTTAAACAAATGTATGTCAAATGTCAAACAGGGGAGCATTATATTTCCTTTTTTTTAAATGTTGTGGCTCGGGAATTTTATCCGTTGTTCTGGTAAATAATAATAATAATAATTTCCCTCTGGGATTATTAAAGTATTTCTGATTCTGATTCTAATTCTAAAGCTGAAGCTGCGATCCAAATCAGATTATTCCCCATAATGCGACATCTACCAGATCTTTTCTTCTTCTTCTGACTATTATCGAGCCTGAGCGTAATCTCCTCTGGTCCGTTTTCCTGCTGCTTTAGCACAATATCCGAAGGGCAGACACAACCCATGAGGTTCACCTCAAGGGCTGCAGAGAGTTGGAGGCCTCCGTTTCAACCCAGGACACACTCAGTGGGTGCCTGCTGATGTGTGTGTCCCCGCTCACATGCCTCTCTGACAGTGGTGATCCCGTGTTAATTATAAATGATACCGACATTGGCTCTCATGTCCTGTGATGCTGAAACCACCCTTCCAATCTAAAACCATGAATAAAGTGCTTTTCATTGTTGAAATGCTCCCTTCGCCCCAGCGTCTTATCTCACACCCTTGCACACTCGCACACACACATACACGGGGGGCACCAGCACGTCGGGGTAAAAATCGTTCTGCTACAGTGCTCCCACTTGGCTTACAATACAGAAACCTAGACCTATGAAATCGACATGAAAACCACCGTGGTGTGAGAGACCCTGCTAAACTATGCGCGAAATGCAGGTTTGTGTCTGTGTGTGTGTGTACACGAAAAGGATGCAAACTGGGGAAGAGATACATTGGATACACAAGTTGGAAGGTATCTGTATGTTTTAATACACAGATTCCTGTGTAAGCTAATGTTCACATTTAAAATGTGAAAAACAAATATGCCCTATTTGAGTGCTACCTCAAATTATGAAATAAAAAGAACGCTAATCTTGTCCTTGCTAGGTCTTAAAACTATAAATAAACTGAAATAAATCCAACCTCAGATTTAACAGTGAGTCATCCCAAATGTGTTTGTTGAGAAAAAAAATGCAGACGTGATCTGTAAAATGCAAAGATTTGCCCACATAATATTTTCATTCTTATTCCTCATTCAGCCGTTCTGTTATAGGTTTTCTGATTTGTTTGAGGGCTATTGGTCACTTCTGTTGGACTGAGCGTGATGCAGGGGGCTCACATTTGACTTTAGAGAACTTTGGTATATGGAGTTTGTTCTTAGTTGAGTCGATGGCCATAATGAGTCCCACAAAAAAAGCCTTCACCAGAGCAAATACTTCCTCTTTGCAACCCTTCTAAACAAGTCTATTTTCTCTTTTTTTGTTTTGTTTGTTTGTTTTTTTGGTTGTTGTTTTTAAAATGAACATTTACCATCATTTAGCATTTAGCCTCCGGCGTGTGTTTTTTTAGATATAGATGGTTCTTGGGTTTCTTGGGTTTGTTCTGATGTTGGAGTCAGTCCGTGAGAGGTTGCTGACTCTTGAAAATGTTCCCTTCATGAATAATTCTTTTTATTGTAAAGTGACAGAGCTCCAAATTGTTTTTCTCATAATCCTTCCCAGAGACATCATGGTTTATGTCTTTCTTCTTACTGGAATTTTGCTGATCACTATTAATTCATCGCGTCAGAGCACTAAACTGCCAACATCTCTGCTTTTACAGAGGTGTCCACACTTGCCCGATGGTCAGTAAATTAATTGTAGACAGACTGGCACCCACGAGACTCAAATTTGTTGCTGTACATAATAACTTTTGGGTCAGGTGTGCCAGCACTTCTCACAAGCATGTAAATAGTTTCTTAGTATTTACTGCAAATCGTTAGAATAACGTAGATACAATAAAACTCACTTAGCCTTTCCCAAGTCAAGGTTTCTTTCTATGTCACTCACTTGCTTTGACAAGGCCTTAACAAGATGTAGGACAATTCTGATCCTACCATTGTAGTCAGCAGGACAGTAATCCTTACTAAACCAGAGGAGAAAATGGGAAAAACACTGTTACACTAAGCAATACCACAACAAAGCTCTGGAGAAGAGCAGAAAACCTCCAATCGTCTTTGATCCAATTTGTCACAGAGGCAGTTAGACTTTGAAGGTCAGTTAAAATATAATTTGTTCTCCATTTTTCCCATCTGTGTTTTTTTTTGTGTCTCCATTTGATTTTTTCTCCCTTTTTACATTTTTTTATTAACAAGAAACATAAACAATAGTCTGTCGGTCCATCTGCTTTGCCTAAACGCCGGTAGGGAACCAAACCACAGGACTAAGAGTTTTCAGAGATGGTGGGAACAGATTGTGTTTTCAGAGGCAGGCGATCAAAAACCCTCGCGTGCCACCGGTGTGGAAATTATGGAGAGAAGGGCGGGTGGGAGGGAGTAGAGGGAAGAGGAGAAGGCTGAACGTTTCAGTGAGGAATCTGTCAGGGAATGACGGAAAGCAAAGCTTTTTCTGCTGGAAAAGAGAGGAAAGGCATTATGAGAGCGGGCTGGAACCCATCTCGTGTGTGTGTGTGTGTGTGTGTGTGTGTGTGTGTGTGGATGGGCAGGGTGAGCTGGACCGGACTGCTGTTCGGGAGCTGGTGTCACGCAATGTTTGACAAACACAGCTGCCCTCACTGGCCCTGCAGCTGCCCTTAAACTCTTATTGTGTAGTAAATCCATTTTCCTGTCTGCTTTGACAAGAATACGCAGTGAGCGTAGAAATGAGCATGATTCCGAGCCCATTTTACTCTCAGTCTGGGCACCTTGTCGGGGCATCCTGAGACACAGACTCCGTCTATCCCAGTTAAGACAACAGGAGCCCCTGTAAAACCAGTCTCATGTATCTTGAGGTTTTTATAAGCTGACATGACAAAAAGCGGGTCTAATCTAAGCATGTGTTTCGTTCTTTTAAGTGAATTTACTGTAACTTATCTAATTCCTCTTCCCGCAGACGGATGTGATGCACCAAAATGTGTTCGACTACATCCATATAGACGATCGTCAGGAGTTTAGACGTCAGCTCCACTGGGCCATGTGTCCTCCACAGCACCAGGGAACGTCTGCGCAGCAGGACAGCCAGATATCTGCAGGAACCGGTACGTATGCCCCAAACCCTTCAACAATTGCACAATTTGTTAAACTAAAGAGATGCGTATTTTTTCTATTAATAAAATACTGACAGTTGACTGTTGTACGATGAATTTATCATTAATTCTCACGTCTTCTGATCGCTGTATTTCTTCTGTGATTAATATATCGGCCGTGAGGTTTCAGATTTGTCAAATACATTGACGTGCACGTACAATATTTCTAATCGTTGTTCTGCTGTGTTGCAGGAGAGGAGTTTGTAGTGAGCAGCCTTTTTAATTCTCCAGAGGCTGGGGAAATTCCCGCTGAGCTTTCCTGCTTTCTCAACAGATGTTTCATAGCCAGAGTTCGATGTCTTCTAGACAGCACCTCTGGATTCTTGGTAAGTGGTCCAGACCGGGTTTGAAAGCAGAATGCATAAACAGAGCGCAGAGCAAATAGCAGGTAGCAGTAGGGTGGGAGCTTAGAATATCTTCTACGGCTCAGACCAGTTACGGAAATACAAGCGGCACTCATGCGGGAGCAACAACAATTTGGGTTTGGACAATTCCTTCAGGGTCCACCGAGTTCATGGTCACAAAGTCTGCAGCGGTTGGACTGATGTCAGTTACACTGCTGAAACTCTAACAAGGATTTTTTTTCCCCCTTGTTATGCGCTTTCAGTGAGTTTATATTGCAAAGATGCTTTCAAGTCAACTTAACCTTTTGGGACACAGAGATTATTAATGTTATTCTGCTTGTAGTTCAAATTAGCCAGTAGTATAGTTAGTATATTCTAATGCAGTATCAAGATAAATGTATGGATGATGTCCACCATATTGTTTAAAAGCCTGATTGAGCATTAAATGTTCCCAACAGTGTTATCTGGGCTAGATAAAAACAAATGTTAGCATGCCAACAGGCGATAAACCATCATAAACTGCCCAAAACTACCTGATTACTGTTTAATTGTATGTTAAACTTATACAAATTTGAATTATTTAGTATTTAGTGCAAATGTTTTAACAATAATTAGCCTTTAAGAGCTTTAAGGGCCTCTGAGAACAAGACAGCAAGAAGGATGTGACTAAAGGCTGTTTCTAATCAGGCTTTCTGATTTATTTTCTGATCTATGAGACATTTTAAGATAGTTAAACTAGATAAACTAGTTTACTTGTTTTTAATCTACTCAAGAGCTAAATTACTCTCAGTTACAGTGTGATCCATTGCATGCAGACAGATGGAATCAAACATTTTTCACTGTGTTGTTACTCTAAGATTCAGAGGTTCCATTTATCCACATGAGACATTGAGATCGGTAAACGTGTTTTAATGAAAGAAAAATGTAAGGTGTGTTCTCCTTTGTGACCATGACCACTGAACCCTGGTGTTGTTAAATCCATCCCATAACCAACTGCCCTCGAAAGTCAAATGATGAAGGGAAGGGACCAGCAGGAAAGTCTTCCTCAACCAGTCATACACCCAGTTTGGTCACTGACTACTTTATAGACTTGTTGGCACCATATTTTCAGAACCTAAATTCTAAAATCAAATTGTCCAAAAAATTGTCCCAAAAAAAACCATAATAGAAACATTTTGATGTGTCCAAACCCTGTCAATCATTCATGTCCTCTGTTCCAGACTATGCAGTTCCAGGGTCGGTTAAAGTTTCTCCACGGGCAGAAAAAGAAGTCCTCCGCCGGGGCACCGATGCCTCCACAGCTGGCTCTGTTTTGCATAGCTGTCCCTCTCCTACTGCCCTCCATCGCAGAGATGAAAGTGAAGAACATTTTAATTCGGGGAAAGAACAAGGCAGGAGGCATCATCTCTGCAATGGAACATTGGTAAGAAAGACTAACATATGTCATACTAATGTCATACGCTCTTCCAAGAGGGGAGCTATAAACTACTCAAACGTCAAGCTGATGTTTAGGTATGACACATTTGGTGAAAGTTACAGTTGTTTTCCCCGAAGAGGGAGCTGTGAAAACAACTTGTGTTCAAGCAGTTTATGATATATATTATATAACAGTACAAACAGGTTTATCTTGTTAATGTAGACTTTTATGATGTACAGTTTTTTTTCTTCCAAACCATCTAGCGCCTGCCACAGAAAAACACACACAACCATTTACCTGAACACATACAAACTGTCAGCCATTGGGCCATGACACAACACCAATTAGGAGCCTTTACATGCCTCAGCCTACAGAAAAGTCCTCCCGTGATTCATGCTTCATTAAAAGAATTTGAGGCTGAGGGGCCAGAATATGAGTCAGTGGTCAGTATGGTCAGTATGCCACCATCTCTGCTGCTCACTACATCATCCAGAGGATAACATAACAAAATGCCCGTCACCTATAATGAGACAGTTGGTTGGATTGGGAATCCCTTCTCTTTGGCTTCAGCTTCGGTATTAAATTCCAGTGTAAAATATTTACAGGAATCCATTGGCAGACATCCAGTGTCCATTTCTGTGCTTTCATTTGTGCTAAATAGGTTCAAAATAATAATGGTTATACTTGTACTACCCCATACCAACCTAAACAAAATGCCAATCTAAATATTGGGACAGTATATTTATTTATTTATTTATGAGATTCTTTTTTGATGGTGTGTGGATGGAAAGGGTGAGGTAAAGCTCAGTTGGTTGAAATGTGCAGTGCTTCAGTTGTGAAAACTGTTGGAAAGTGCTGTCAGCTTGGACATGTCATCTTAATCCACGCCCAAATAGACAAAGTTTGACTTTTCTTTTCATCACTTTAGATCAATATCTACATTCAGAGTCTGGACATATTTCTGTTCTCTTTTGTTTGTTGATGAATTCAAATTTGAAAATTACTGTCAAACTAAACAATGAAGCTGAAAGATAAACTTTATGTTAGCGTAGCAATGGAAAAAGCCTTCCTCGTTGTTTTATTTTTGTTGGACAAATCAGCACGTCTCTGGTTGGTACCAGCTTTCTGTGTCACCATGCCATTGTGCATCATCACTGGGGAATCAGGGCTCTTCTCGGAGTTGATTTATTTATCAGCTCCCTGTTTTTTGATGAACATTTACAGCCCAAGTTTGGTGTGAAATAAAACTGTTCCAGTTTGGGAAGACAAGAAAATGCACTTTGTTTGGTTTGCTTTCAAAAGACAACGGGGCTGAAAAATTTCCTCCAATCGTGGTGTGCGGGCGGCCATTGATCTTTTGAGTTCTGGATTTAACCTCTGTTCTCAATTTTCAGACGAGAAACATCCTGGAAAAGATGAGTCATTTTTGGAATAATTTTTCTGTTGAACTAAAACAAATCAAAGCAAGATATTTAGGCACTGAGTCATCCATCACTTTGTAGAAAAACAATAAGAGAAAAAGAACACTTCTTGTGAACTTCCCATGAAGGTATTTGGGTGGACCGGGGACATTTCAGAAGAATGCCAGCCCTGGTCTTTGCTATTTCTCACATCTATTCCACTAACTTGACTGACTGCCACTTGCTGCTGTAAAAAAAAAGCACGAAATGCTTAGTTTAATGAGCAATGGGCAACTGAACGCTGTATGAGGTTCTACAGTTTACCAGCATAAATAGCTAGGCTGATACTTCTCCATAAAATAGCAACGAATGGGGGTAAAACTAGAAAAAAAGGAAATCATTGACTGAACTGTTAGTCAAGATATCACCTGTGAATTAGTGTTATCAAAATATTGAAATGCTTTGTTCTGTTTTGTAATCAATTTTAGGATTAATTGGATTTTCTTCTCTCTCTTGCCCCCCCATCTCTGACCCTTGCAGCGAACGTGGTGACCACCTCCGGAGGCACTCCTTCAGTGGGGGGATGGGTGACATTGCTGACCCTGTCCTCCTGTCCTGTTCTACTCCAGGAGCCACTCAGCGAGGTCACCACACCCCCTGGACCCCGCTCTACAAAGACAACCTCAAGTACCGCCCTGACGGTTACTATAACCAGGACGAACCCCTCAACTACTGCAAGTCCTCGGTGGCGCCCCACAAAGGTCTCGGGGCCGGCCAAGGCGGGGGCTGGCCTCTGCGTCAGAACTCGGGCCCGCTCAGATCGGGCCAGGGGGTCGGCTACGTCCCCTCCAACCGCCTCCACAGGACCAGCCAGTACGGGAAGCCTTACCGCCTCTCGCCGGCTCACGGCTGCCACAGCGGCCGGGGCGGGGAGGTCTTTATCTCCAAGCTCTACGGGAACACTCAGATATCCGCCGACCCAGATGCGTACTGCGTGGACTTGGTGAAGAGCGAGAACGGATACGGGGAGTGCTACGATGGCCACCTGATGCCCGAAATGCCACCCATCAAGGTGGAGCACGACTCGGACTCGGAGAACGGATGTGACACTTATGGGGGGACGTGGGCTTGCCGGGAACCCATGGCCGTCGACCGGCGCTACGGAAACGGGGCGTACGACCCGATCACCGGCTTGCAACTCAAATCCGAGCCAGATTACTACGACCCCCATTACTCGCCCTGTCAACGAGGGAAAGCGGGAATCAGCCCGCCGTACAACAACGGCGCCTACCCAAACTATCCAGTCAACACCAACAACGGGGGTGCCAACGCACGTCTGCTAAAATGTGACAAAGACCTGGGCAACAACAGCGACTCCAGCCAGTTTAGTCCTCAGAGACTCTCCCACACAGATTCTCTATGCAGCAATCAACCTGTCAACCTCATGGACTCGCAGGTCTATCCGCAAAACCCGCACAAGGCCTACATGCACCAGGACTACAACAAGCATGGCACTTACGAGTTCAAAGGCCACGGCCTGATCCATTCGATCAAGCGGGAACCGATGGACTCCCCCCCCTGGTCCGAGGCCGGCCATGACATTAACCAGTCCATGGTAGCTGGGCATAGAAACGCTATGCCCTGCGTGATGAGCACTGGGCACCACAAGTCCAATCCCTACATTTATATGCCATAAGAGGGCTTCACACCTTACCCGATCATAGACACAGGAACAGATAACCACCAGCCTCCCCTGGCATCCTTCCCTGTGCATATTCACAGCATTCACGACAAGAAAAACAGTGTGCATTACAGTGCTTTCTTCTATCTTCTCTAGACACATGCACCAGCATTACGAGAGTTTTTGACGATGACCATGTCTTCTGTTAAACCGAAGAAGTCTCAACCAAGGCTCAGGTTTAAGTGCTGTGACAATCAAAAATAATGATATCAGTCCAGCTCATGGATTGGTGACATTGTTTTTAAGGTACATATTTTGTGGTTGATTACAAGCACTTTTGGATATAGTGACACAGAGACAATCTTTTTCCTAGAAACACAATATTATTTAGTTTTTATATGTTACGTGCACCAGGCTTTTATGGGAGAAACAAAGTTGTACAAATATGCTTCAATTTTTTTTTTTTTACATAACTTAGTAGACAGGAGATGACCTTCACCAAGTGAGATGAAAAATGACAAGAATATGCACAAAAGTCAGAGATGACAACTTAAGGAGAGGTTGTGGCGCTCTTTCCAAAAAAAAAAGAAAACTGTGAATGCTCTGTAAAATGTAAAGAAACTGAATGCAATGATTTGTACATTTTACTTAAGAAGATTGTAGAAAGACAACATATCGAAGGCTTGACAGTCAAATTTCCATAAAAAATGCGACGGGAGCAGTGGACGAGAAAAAAGTTGTGTGTGTATATATATATATATATTAATATACATATATATATATACTGTTACCAGTGAATGTGGCAAGATAATCAAATTAATCTGTTTATATGACTCCTTCAAAAAAAAACATTTTTTATGTTGAATGTTTGACAAGTGAGGGGTGATTCAAAGTCATTTCCATTCTCCCTGGTGAATTTTTTACCCTTATTACCCCTTATCTTCTAAAAAAGGGTAAGGGTAAGGGTAAACTTCCACAGAAGAAAAAGCTGAATTAAACAGTTTAACAGCTGAAAATGTATTAAATCAAGTTTAGTCTGTTTAGTTCCCAGGATTCAGACCACGCATTAATTTGCCCCCATCAAAATCTTTTGAGGAATAATGCAATTTTAACTTCCCCATTATTCTAAAATGTACACGATTGAAATAATCTCTGCATTCTGTCTATGCTCACATTTTACACTGTGTCACTTTTTTTGGGATATTGGGTTGTATGAACGCTTGGTTTCATGACTGCCTTTAGTGATATTTGAATGGAAACTGCTGGTCTCTATGCATTTTAGAAAATAATCAAATGAACTTGCAAAGACTTGAAACTCACTCGTTATGTCAGTAGAAGGTGTGGTTTCCGTTTACATCCCTGTCATGAAGAAACCGTCATTCTTTGTGCATCCGAGCACACTTTTAAAGCTTCAACAAGTGAATTCACTTTTTTTTTTACAACCAGCCAGCTTTATCGGGATTGTGTCAATTGCTTATTTCCAAACGACATAACTTTCATCTCAATGCTTATATCAGGACTTCCTTAAACACAGATCTAAGCGCAGTGCTAAAAATAATTCCTGTTTTCAGCAGGATCCCATGACTCATGGCAAGAGGAAATGGTATAGACAATCTGGAGTTAATCGCCAAACAAATAAACCTAATGTTTACTGTATTAGAAACAGCTTCATTATGCCAGGGACAATGTGTAGTCTCTTTATTCTAGGAGGTCGTGAGAAGAACTACATGCATCCCTGTTGAAGTATCTATGAGCAAGGCACTAGCTAATCGTTTGTGCATAAGCTGCTCCCCACATGCTTCTTGGCTTTCGTCTCCTCGTGGAAGGAATGAAGGCAGTGAAATTCAGCCCCCATTGAGACCCAGAGCGCCCTCCATAAATGGGAGCATGTGTGCATCCGTTCTTATCGGGACGATGAACCGGTTCGAGGGTGTAGCGTTTATCGGCATTCAGCTAGCATGAGAAGTGCGAGCAATTATAAACATGCTAGAACTGCCTCATAAAACTGCAGGACCTAATATGAACTCAGCACTTAGGAACAGGGATAAAAGTCTAACTTTGAAGATTTTATTAATCTATGAAGAAGTTCAACGTTGAAATCATCTCTTAGATAAATACAGCAAATTCATAGTATCATTTTTCAAAGCTTAAACTTCTGAAAATACATAATGACATCATTTTTCCTTTATGTCGGGGCTAATTAAACTTATGTTATTGCTTCTGTCAAGGCTATCATTTCATTCTCAGTGTAGAGGACTCTTCATTTTTCATGTCCAAAAAACATCCAGCTCTTTTTTTTTTTTACACATCAGTGTTTTTTTGCACACAGGATTTAAATAGCACCCAAATTTATTCAGTGTAAGTCGGTTTTATAAAGCTACTCTTGCAGTTTTTAGATTGCACTACTGGGAAGATTTCAGTTGAAGTTTCAGCCTACCCAGGCAAGTTTTCGAGTCGACACGCACAACTGTACACAGTGTCACTGTTACGGATTTGTCCTTTTCTCTTTTGTGTGTGTGCCCTCAGTAAATGTTTGATGATTTGTATTTATTGTAAGAAGCAAAAGTCTATAATTTAAAAAAAAAAGCGTATAGTTTTGAATGCCTCTCTGTTTTACTAACGTGAATAAGTACAACTCTTTTTCTTGCTTTCTTTTTCATAATTGCTAGAACTGTCATCTTTATGTCTTTGAGGAAGTAGCTGCGAAGGTAGCAAGCACAGTGTACATATATATGCAGGATCTTGCAATGTTTCTACATGTTTTTGCAAATGGGACTGAACTATTAAAAGTCTTTCTTTATATTGAAAAGCTTGATTAAGTTTATATCTTTAACAAAAAAAAAAAAAAAAAAAAAACAGCATCGCAAAACTCCATTTAAACCAATGAAATCCTCCACAACTCTGTCACTCTGAGCTCACGGTCTTCAGCCCTCCAGAGGAAACACCACCCGAGTTCTGTTGCTCAGTTTACATCTCTTTGGTGCCTCTTAAATTTTTCACACGTACTGAATGTGGTTTCACCCAGTCGCCCGTTAACAATCGAAATGCAGAATAACAGGAGACGGAGTATCTCTGGCCACATGGTCCTGTATGATTAATGCGCTGAAAAGCTCCTTCGCACGATGTGGGCAGCCTGACACACATCCCTCATCGCCGTCTGGGCCGAGGCCAGGAGCCCAGGGGGGAGTCGGGGGACGGGGATGGAACCGAAAAGCTGCGGTAACAGCCATGTCCCAGGGATTTCCCAGAGGCCACGGGACCTGTCTCCTGTCTCCTGGCTCTGAACTCCATTTGCCTCACACGTTTGGTTTAGGGCCATCGACAAACGTTAACATCATACACCACGATGAATCTGGCTCTGTCGTCAGGGTTCGACCCTCCGATTGTACTGTGTGCATCCGTTGTCAAGGTTTACCCCAATAAAAGTCATCTTCGATGATGGGAAATTATCATCAGGACCACACAGTGAAAGACAAATACTTGTTTTGGAAACTATGACTAAATATGAGAAGGAAGAAATGTAGTTTGTTTACTGGATGCAGGGAGGTTTAATGACTTTAAACATTGACCAATATATATATATATATTGGTCAATATATATCATATTATTTTTGCACTACACTTTCTCATTCCAGAGTTTGTGAAACTTTTCATTAAAAAAGACCCCAACAGCTTTATTCCCCTGTTGTTTTTATTTTTACGAGCCATCGCACTCTTTTAACATTTCCCTTTATTTATCACCTTTTTGAAAACTTCTCCTCAGCATTATTCCACCCGAGCACCTAAAGTGAGCACAAAAAGCTTATGTGTTCGCTCATGTTCAGCCCCCCCCGCACACTCAGCAGTCCAATGAACAGGGAGCACAACTCAGCATGAGCCAAATTAGATTAGGAAGTGCTTAACTAAAAAGATGATTTAACAGTCTTAGCTTCTTGCAGACTTGCCAGAAACAATAATAAAACGGTGCGCTCTATAATTTACGTCAAAGTTATCAAAGAGGATGGGCTTCTCTGTAGCTTTATTTAATTGACAATGGGGAGGCATTTGATCTTTGCTTCCTTATTTGGAAATAAAATGGACGTCAAAACCTTTTCTAAAAAATTTGATTTAATCTAAAGTGGCATTACCTGACACAGAATTATAACTGGTATCAGTTCTTCAATACGTAAGTCGTATTCAATTTTTGAAGTTTAAATTTTGGACAAAAGTGGGAAAAAAGAGGGACTGGAAACGGTGAAAGAAAGATAGTTGCATACAGTATGGTATAAGCTGTGTGAGTGTGAGTTTTGGGTGTTGGCAGGAAGAGGCGCAGGAGGCTGGAGAAAGACGAGGAGAGATAGAGGAAGGTCAGTGAGCTGTGAAACAAGACATGACCCATATGTTTTCGGCTTGTTTTTCTTCCAGTGCACAAGCGTGGGCATATTCAGCAACGGTCCTGGGTTTTTTTTTCCTGTGGATTTTGTTTTTGGGGAATAGAGATAAAATTCATCGACCTACATTTATACTTCCCAGTTGTTTCTGCTCCAGCTGCTGCTGAACGGCAGCAGCAGTAATGGTTATGTAAAATATTCACTGGCATATTTCGTACGCCCACAAAAAAAGAGACCTTAATGAAAGAGCGCATGATTGAAGTAATGGTGGAGGCGGTGCGCCAGGGCAACTTTATGACTAGCAATGCCCCTGGTCTTATCTATGTTTAACATCCATCAGGGCATTAAGATATTAATTCCATCACTCATGTGGACAGTTGGTCCGTCAAAGCTGACCTCTGACCTCTGCCCGCTAAAAACCTGCTTGTATACTTTGGCACTTCTCACTTTTTCATGTTAATGCTGACAAGGACTTCATAACTTGTGCAAGAAAAAAAAAAAGAACTCAGACTTTCGGCGTGATAAAATGCTTTAAACAGCAACCAACCCGGACAGAAATAGGTCTGTCTTAGTCTGTTGCTGACCACCAGGTAACACTCTCATCGCTCCTTCCCTCTAATCCCTCCCAGAAGCCCGTGTTTGTTTCTCTGTAGTCATTGTATAGCTTACAGGGAATTACAGGCTGTGTAAGGATCGGTTAGCGCGGAGATTTGACTAATTAGGCTGACTGTGAGTGTTTATGTGGATTTGTGCCTGTGTGCTCGTGTAAACAGCAAACACCAGATAGATCTTATTTGTAAAGGCACCCAAAATAAATTCCATGGGAATCTGGAAGGTAACCTAAGGTAGGTGATTTTTTTTTTTTAAATAGCTTCATCGAATAATATAATTTTTTGTTTTTAGGTGCGTTTGAATTTGTCTGTAAATGGAGGTCTTTCTTTGCTCTCAGGTATGAGTTTATGTGTTGAACTATAGAAAATAATTATTATGTTTGCTTCTACAGATGTCATCTCGCGCTGTCCGATATCTTCCGCTACAAAAGGCAGGTAAAAGAGGAAGAGCCAAAAGACGGTTGATGAATAATTTGCTATGGATGCTAGTTTTGAGTGGAACTGCCATAGTGAATTTGGGATGTTTGTTCGAGAGGGAACTTTTAGCGCACACAAATCCTTGATGAAAATTAGTGATACTTAAGTTGCTTGTTTTTGTCCACAACAGGTACCTGAGCCGGATATAAATCTGGCACTTGGTTTGGTGGTTGGCACCGTTGCATCACAGCCAGAGGGTTCTGGGTTCGAGTCCCCGGGGGAACCAGGACCTTTCTATTTGGAGTCTGCATGTTCTCCCTGTGTCTGCGTGGGTTCTCTCTGGGTTCTCTGGCTTCCTCGCACCATCCAAAAACCTGCATGTTAGGTTGATTGGACATTCCAAATTGCCCTTAGGAGTGTGTTGTCAGCTGGGATAGGCTCACGCCCCTTCACAACCCCGTTGGGAATAAACGGCCTAGAAAATGGACTGGTGGACAGCACAATGCCTCTTGCAAACTTCCCGGAACAAGTAGACGAGTACTTTTATACAGAAGTAGTCTGTATCAAAAACTTTAAGCTAAAAAAAGAGCCAGGTGATGTGAAGATATGTGGAAATTAGGAGAAAACTAAAGCAGTTTGTGTTGACAGCCATAGGGTTTGTGCTGGCGTGTATAGTAAACAATACAGGGTTGCATAGCCATTAATACACCCATTCTTTGCTTCTAATTAACTCCCCTTCACTGATACGCTCCAATACACTCTCTCATATAGCTGATCCAATAAGCCAACATACAAAAAAATGCTCACTATGGAGAGAATAGGGAAAAGGGAACAAAAACCTTGAGGGTATGTCACACACATGTGCAAAAACTCATACTGTAAACATTATTATGCAGATTTAAAGGATTCTTTAATGCATATGGTAAAAAGTCCCACAACAGGAACCATTACAAGCTTTACCGTCATCACACATCAGTGCAAGACACTCCCTGAGAAGAAAATAATTAAAAAACCCAGACAAAACAGAAGACTGTCCACCACGGTTAACTCTGGTTGAACAAACTTAGAAAATATACGAAAATTAAACACGGTTGCAACTTTTTGGTAAAAATTGCTTGACGAATAACAACTAAGCTCACCGACTTACTGTTTATGCATTCTAATGAAAGATTATCAAACATATTCATCACTTATTGAAATATTTAGTGGGATATTTCACTTGGTCATCCTTTAAGCCAGAAAACTATGCTTTAATCCATTTTCTGTAATCTACTAAAAGTATTTATGCATAATTTCATGATAAGAATACAAATAATATAAGTCCAAAGATACTGCAAACAAACATCACATCTTACCATAACAGACATTTTTTCAAATTTAGCTTATTTCAGTGACCTTTACGGAACAGCTACACTTCTGTATAAGATGCAGATGGGCAGTCTGGATTTCTTACTGTTTGTCAGTCATAATATTTTCCTCCTAAACGTCTGAATGTGCTCACATTTACATGTCAGGATTAAAATGACTTAGTGTATCTATGTGCCCGTGAGGAGCTTCAAAGGTTACTGAGTGCAACCTGGTGATTCATGAACGGGATATTCAGGGCACAGCTGACCGTGAGTCATGCCTGTGTGCACGAGCATATGGAACACACAAGCAAGCTGTTTCACAAGTAAAGAAAAAGCGAAAAGCGAAAAAACGATTTGTACGATTGTCTTATAACAAGAGAAAGGGGTTTGGATATGAAAATCCAGCTAATTCCACAAACCAGAGTGGTTCGTGTGCTGCGGGACCAGAAGACATGCTCAAAACCTTACAGCGCAAACGTGAACGCTCTAATAATTCCCGTAATAAGAGCACAGTGAGTTATGGGAACCACTGGCAGCAGTGTTTGTTTTGGGTTGCGTTCATGCTCCAGTTGACTGATTAATCTGCAGGCTAACACGGAGACAGATGCTCCGGCCGTCTCTTCTGTTGGTGAATGCTTCAGTCTGCTGGTGAGCACCGGGAACTGCAGGGGCCGTTCGCAGCTCTTACTCGGCAAACGCCGTCTAAAATACCCTTTTGCTGCAGTGGGCTGCTTTTCAAAATTCGAACACAGACTTGACCGAGATCAGAAACATTCACGTCTTACTATAGTAACTACAATTAAATGTATTCGCTGATTCGCGGCATTATGTCAATTTTATTCCTTTCCCACAAACCAAGAAAACATCTTAATCTCATCAGAATAATGTGCAAGCCAGGTGCACCTTACACTAATACACAGTTTGGGTCAAAAGCCTAGAATGGTTTTGTTTACATTCCTCTTCATGTTGGATTTTAAAGCCCATATAAATGACTATTCCAGGATTCCTTAAAAAAGGGATGCTATTACTATCAAAAGGTGGCAGAAAACGCTCCCACTGTGGGAGAACTGTGAATGACAGCAGTTATTTAGCTCTCGAAGGCTAACTGAGAGCATCTGTTTTGTGGGGTGACTCCTCCACAGGTGGACTTGCGAGTTTTGATCTGGAGAAAGCGAGGAAATAGAAGTTTTCTGCCCCGCGTGAGCCACTGTGGATTTAAGTGCTATGACCTGCAATGGCAAGTATTTAATCCACGGGTTTAAAACTAGGATAACTCGTAATCCAACTGAGGCTTTGTTGCTCAAAAATGCACCATATGACTGATCTGTTGTAAAGTCATTTAGATTATATCGGAGAGTTATTGAACACTGAAATGTAAACATTTTCTTGCTTTAGAAGCAACTATTCTGTCTGATTTAGAGAAATATACTTTCCTTTTTAAGTAGGAGTAACAGATTTAAGTGACTGGACAGTCATTCGGCCTTCAGTCTCGCTGGAGGTGGATTTGGTTTGTAATGAACTATGATCTGAATCAAGACGAAACAGTTGATGACCAAGAAGAGCAATCCGGCGAGCCAGATCAATAGGAAGGTGTTGGAGCCTTCAAACTCCAGGAAGTAGGCTGGAGCCAACCACAAACCCTGTCGATTAGGAAAATAGGGGGCATTAAAAAGACGTGATTGGAGGAGAGAAAAGCAAAATCCTCAAGATTTAGTGATAAACATTTGCAGAGACTGAATAAATTCAGCTCATTTGCTTAAAACCAGTGAAAAAGCCAATGATGGTGCAACATTAAACCTTCTGCAAAGCTCCATGGCTCGTGTAACCCACAGAGAGCCCCAATAACCGTATAGTCCAAACGCAACCGGGTGCTACTGTCCACGAGCTGCCTATCAGAAGGCATCTCCAACAGGGTTATTCACAGTTTATTCCATACACTGTACAAAAACAGCTCATCTTGATATTTTCTTACTTTGTTAATTGTTTTCTTGCTCAACAATGGATTTAAAGTGAATGACAGAGATAACCGAGATATTACAGGCACGGGAGAAGATCGAGTTATAGACTCGTCCATCCAATTTCTGGATCTGGTTAATCCAATTCAGAATCATTGGAGGGAGGGGAGCCCATTCCAGCTGCCTTTGGTGAGAGGCGGGGCTTGCCCCGAACGGGTCATCAATCTATCTGAGGTCCACACAGACAACCGTGCACCCTCACATTCGCTCCCAGGGATGAACTGACGCAATATATAGTTTATGTCATCCTGACTTGCAAATGACGACTGAAGTGTCTTTATGTTCAACTTTAACATAAAAGCAAAAGTAATCAACTTTAACAAGAATAACTGTAGGTCACAATGACATTTCTAGGTATAAGGCTTGATTAGCTTGATTAGCTGGATGCCGCTCTTCCTATTATGACGAATAAAATGGGTGGACAAGCATCCCAAGCTCGTGTCTAACTATAATTGCTTCTAACAGAGAGATAAAATGTTTATGGGGAAATCTTTTTTTTTTTTTTTTTTGCATGGGACAATTCTGCTATAAAGCTCATGTGTGAAAGTGAATTACCTGTCCAGCAAACCAGAGGAGCAGCAGACCCAAGCCCTGCTTCACTGAAAGACTCAGGTGTGGGATGACCAGAGGGAGTAAGCACAGGTACCACAGGAAGTACTGCAGAGACAAAACCAAACTGTTAAATCTTTTCATGATACCCCTGAAATATGTAATAATTTGGGGAAAATGTACTAATTTATCTCTTTGACTGTTATAGCAATAGCAAATCTATAGCTTGAAATCCACAAGAAAAAATTAGAAAAACAAAAAGGTGAAAAATGAGCATTTACGCTCTGCTCATGGGAATGTTGAATCTTGTTAGCGTCATCTGTGAATAACCCAACTCGGTGCTTTTGCCTTTATATTCTGAGTTGGAAAACTCACAGGGTCCCACATTTATGCATATTGCATGGGATTTGATGATGTCACTTAAAAGGAAAGACACAGGCCAACAGCGGTGGGTTATCTGACATGTTATCAGCTGTTCTGAATAAACCAATAGGGGGTGATGCTCTGAAAAATAATTACCAGAATTATTTTTCTGAATAATCAGTTAATTAATATATTCCATTTACCTAGGGTTGATAGCAGCTATGTAATGCATTTGTAATGTAAAATCTGATTTGTTAAAAGGCTGTTTGACAATCTTAAGTGTGAGGAATGTGAGGAAATATCAAATAAAATAAAATCTCTAATCCTCTGTTTTAGACAAGCATTATGTGACACATGGCATCATGTGAAAAAGGACTACCTGTGAGGTGCACACTTTATTGAAGGACACAAATATGGCTGTGTGCAGGAAACAGACGAAGGCCAGGTCGCGGTGGAAGGCCCACGACGCTACCAGAAGCAGGACGAGCTGTGGCAGGAACGCTGCCAGGCCGAGGCCCCGGTTCCACCAACTGTCTGTGTGAGCAAAGAACAAACCGGGTGAGGCGAGCGCATGCGGCCAAATCGCTCCATGTGTCCTTACTTTGTGTGGGTAAAAGACTGACCCGCCGTGAGGTAGAGCATATAGAAGTAAGGGGAAAAGTTGTGTCTGATGTCCCTTCTGGTCAGATGGTACAGGTACGTCTCATGAAGAAACTGCCAGCCATACCTGAATGTAAAGCAAATAGGTTATGTGAACTTATTTTAAAATGTCCATATCTCATAGTGCAAACAATGGCGAACTGATCTCACATGTAATAGAAAATAACGGTCAGGATCATAAAAACTCCACCGGACACCGCTCCAAAGCGGATCAGCCCCCCGTTGACGAAACGTCCAATAAAGACGGCGGACTTCCTCAATGTCCCACTGTTTTTGGTTCCCTCTGTTCCCATCTCCGGTGTGCGCAGGATGAGAGAAACTGGCAGCGCATACGTAATAGGGTAGATTTTCATATGAACAGACAAACCGTAGAGAGCAGCTGCCCACATCAGGTGCCCGGCTAGAAGAGAACCAAACAAAGCAAAGCATCTACACTAGATGATCACAACAGCATGAATTTAACGCCTATCACCACAGACACAAGCCATCCCCATACCTTCCATACAGAGTAAAGTTCCCAGCACCAAAGCAGCCATTATGGATTCAGCATTCCCTCTGCTTGACACCCCAATGGGCAGAGGGTTGAGAAGCCACAAAGCACAAACACGGCGCGCCATCTAAGGACAAATTCAAACAAAAGCACCAATCAGTTAACATATGGATGAGCGACCTGTACTCGGACTGTTACAATGCACAAAAACATGGAGGTCGGAGGCACAAACCTGGCAGCTCAGACCTCGCAGGCAGAGGATTCTGTAGATGAGCAGCCCTGACAGCACATCGCAGACGATGAACAGGATCTTACCAAACACCATGCTGAGATAGATGTTTGGGGTGAGAAGCCAGGCCAGAAGAGGAGTGTAACGGTAGGTTGACCTGTTGTAAGGAGACTCCCCCTGTTCAGAGTATCATTAAAGAAAACCAGACTTAAAAGAAACCACAATACTAGCTACTAAAAAAATCACTACTATAAACTGAAATCATTTTTCAGATTTATGTGCTATTCTGTATTATATTCTAGAAACAGTGCGTGTGTTACCTCTGTTATGAACCGTGCAGCGTCTGTGAACACATGGTAGTCAATGTCGGTGTACTTTACGGCCATGGTCCTGTCCTGGTAGTCCCCATAGGCAACCAAAGCCAGTCGTATGGCAAACGAAGCCGTAAAAAGGACACGTTTTTCTGTGAGTTTGGACAGAAGTCTCTCCATCACCAACCGTGCGGGGTAAAAACCAGAAAAGCAGGTAAAACCAACTCAAGTTTGGTCTAATTTCTTGGATCGGTACGCATCTCCCACTCTGTCCTTATCTCTGTAGCCATTTTTACCTTCATAAAGGTATATGTATAAAGTTTTATATTTATTTCATGAATTAAACAGCAGTACGAACTGTTAAACAGCCATCGATGAATGGCCAGACTCAAAAATATCAACACGGAAGTTTTCCGGAAGTGAATTTCTTCTTCGTGGTTGAATTTAAAACACGGGCTGCATTCTTAGTGCGTTACCGTTGCCATCTTCTGGTAATTTTTTTAACAGGTTCAGGAAGCAAACTAAAAACACACCATCTCACCTACTGCCTCACCACTATTTTATTTAAGAAGTTATTATCGTACTTAAATCTTCCCCTCAGATGCATTCTTACCACAAAAACGATGTGTTTTAATAGGAATCGACACTTCTTTGTTGTATACTTTCCATGTAATTTGGAGTGTTAAATGTTTTGGTTTTCTAAGAATTTTTGAGAATACACTTTTTTCTTTTTATTTCCCATTTGTTATTATTGTTATGATCTATTTTTTTTAGATTTTAAGTGCAAACCTGCCTGACTGAACAAAATTAAAAGTTTTATGTCAACAACTTAGCATAAAAACTATTCTAAATCAGGTTTGCATATATTTCCCCTTAAAAACACATGGAAAAAAGTTAAATAATTGCCTCTAGCAATAATTATATAGATTTAAAGGCATATAGTGGATTTTTGGTATGGTCAATTTAAACTGAGGATTAAGCTTGCCATCGTACCAATATGGTTTAAAGTTAATCAACCAGGTGCTTAAAGATTCAAACTGCATCATTTGATATGATTAAGATACCTGACTGTTGAATCATCAAAGAAATAAACCCTTCTAAAAAAAGGATTTTATAAAGTTGTGACTCAATCCTTTTATCAAATGCCGGACTGATTTAACAATTAATATAAACAACCAAACATTCAATGAATACATGCCATTTCAGCAGATTTGTCTTTCAAATGTGGAAGGCAAAGTATTGTCAACCACACACTTTAATTCCATGTGTTTGAGCATCGGTACACAACAACAAACCCAGTATTTGTCATATTTAGTCTACAGAAAATGCACAATGGTACAGTTACAGATAATTGCACTTCACATAATTACCAAAGACACATGCATATATCACTGTCTTTTAATAATAAACTCTCTTTGGTTCAGCAAAAGTGTAAAATTGTACTGCTGCTAAGTTAAAGTGCAAACTGATGTCTTCTTTGCCAGCTGAGAAAGGCATAAAATTCAAGATTCAAAAAGCTTTATTTATCCCGAGGGAAATTGCCTTTAATGTTTAAGGCAAAGTCTCTACCAAGGTAGAAAATCAGATAAACTAGTGTAGGATGTTAAGCAGCAGCAAAGAGGGCCATGAAGTCATGAAAAAAAAAACAGGTTGGGGTGGGGGGGGGAGTAATAAGCTAAAAAAGTGCAAAGACTGAACCTCATGTAAGGCGTAAGATGA